CTCTCTCTCTCTCTCTCTCTCTCTCTCTCTCTCTCTCTCTCTCTGCCTCTGTGTGACCATTTCAAGATATCACAGATTCCTACAGTTCTGCTTATGGGACCAACACAATGCTAAAATAAGCGCAGTAAATAAGATTTTGAACCAAAAACAAATACACTGAACCTACACAGTGCCAATAAGCTGCCAAGAGACTATTTCTGTTTTGGTGGGTGAGGGAGAAGCAGGAATAATTTTGGTTTTTCTAGGTCTGAGAGAAATTAGCTAATGTTATTGGCAAACCAAATGGTAATTGGTATTAAAGCTACAATACTGAACATAAAACTGGCTTAGATAAATGGTTTACAAACATTAGTAGTCATTGTACCTATATTCCAGTGAATTAATTGCTTTCAGAATAAAGGATTCTTGTGGATCACTGAAATTACTTTATAACGAACAAATACATTAAAAATAATTGTCTCCGAGATCACCCTTAAAATACTTAAGAATTTGCTCCTTCTTGACTACTTTTCACACTAAACTTATTGGGCCTTTGTTCCCCCCATTCTTTGCTTTGGCATGAAGAAGGCAGTTATTTGCGGTCATTTAGTGGTGTTAGCTTGTGTGGGCTTTTTTGGTAGGTGGGTAAAAACATTGTGAAGTTATGCTTAAACAGTTAGGGCTTTCTGTGAAGAAGGAACTATTCATTTTTAGTAAGCAGTGACACTTTATTTTTAAGAATCTCCTATCCCACATTATGTATGTACATGGGAAGTCCTTTTATATATTGATTTTTCTGCTTAACAAAACCAGTTCTACTGTCAAGATGATACTTTATTTTATCTGTAGCAGAAAAAAATCATATTGGATAGGTAGGTTCCTACCAAATTGTCCATTTTGGTCAATTTCACGGTCAGATGATTTAAAAAAATAGTAAATTTTATTCTTTCAGCTATTTGAATTTGAAATTTCACAGTGTTATAATTGTAGGGGTACTGACCGAAAAACGTTTGGGGTGGCGTGTTTGCAAGGTTATTGTGGGGGGGGGAGTCATGGTACTGCTACCCTTACTTCTACACAGCTGCTGGCGACGGCGCTGCCTTCAGAGCCAGGCTCCTAGCCAGCAGCCGCCGCTCTCCAGCTGCCCAGGTCTGAAGACAGCGCCGTCGCCAGCAGCAGCGCAGAAGTAAGGATTGCCTGGTATGGTATTGCCTCTCTTGCATCTGCTCTGCTTCCTGCAGTCAGCAGCCACCGCTCTCTGGCCGCCCAGCTCTGAAGGCAGCAGCGTAGAAGTAAGAGTGGCATGGTAAGGTATTGCCTCCCTTACTTCTGCGCTGGTGCTGGCAGGGCGCTGCCTTCAGAGCTGGGCACCCAGCCAACAGCTGCTATACTCCAGCCAGGACCGGCTCCAGGCACCAGCCGAGCAACCTTGTGCTTGGGGCGGCAGATTCCAAGGGGCGGCATTCCGGCTGTCCCTTTTTTTTTTTTTTTTTTTTTTTTTTGGTTTGCCGCTCCGACTGCCCTGTAGGGGGCAGCGGCGCAGAGGAGGGGAGCCCCCTGCAGCAAACTCGGCAGGGCAGCCCGCGTCCTTCCCTCCCAGCCGACCGGAGCGGCACAGAGCCCTCCCGGCAGGTGGTGCAGCGGGAGGGGCTGCGGGGCAAGCGCCCCACTGAAGCCCTGGACCCCCCTCTCTCTCTGCCCCCCACTCCCTCTCCCTCCCCCTCCACTAAACCGGGCGCGCACTCCGCTGCACGTCTGCAGCACAGGGAGTCCCCCTGCACCCTGGCTCCAGCCGCCCTGCAGGTTGTTGTTTTTTTTTTTCTTCCTGCTTTGCTGCTCTGGCCACCCCGCAGGTGTTTGTTGTTGTTGGTTTTTTTTTGTTTGTTTGGTTTTTTTGCTTTGCTGCTCCAGCCCCCCTGCAGTGTTTTTTTTTTTGCTTTGGGCGGCAAAAAAGCTAGAGCTGGCCCTGCACCCAGCTCTGAAGGCAGCGCAGAAGTAAGGGTGGCAATACTGCGACCCCCCCCCTAAAATAACCTTCTGACCCCCTGCAATTCCCTTTTGGGTCAGGACCCCCAGTTTGAGAAATGCTGGTCTCCTCTGTGAAATCTGTATAGTATAGGGTAAAAGCACACCAAAGACCAGATTTCATGGGGGGGACACACACAAGATTTCAGGTCTGTGATGCGTTTTTCATGGTCGTGATTTTGGTAGGGCCCTATGGATAGGGAAGAGCTCAACAATGCTAAAGTGAAGCTAATCTGCATACTTGCATTTCTATAGGAAGTTTGGATAATCTTAATAGCCTGATTCTCAATATAGACATGGAGTAATTATTGCCAACTCCAGTTTTTTATTCTTGAGGCTCGTTAGTTTGTGTATTTGTTAGTTTGTGTAGTTGTTGCATTAAGACAATAGGTTGAGCTTCCAATGCTGACTGCCAAAGATTATTAGCAATAGCAAATGTTATTGGCTTTTTGTCAGAAAAGATGTTGATGCACAGACACAGAAGCCCAAACTTTCATTTTGTTTCCAGCGCTTCACCGTTAGCACGGGGATGAAATGGCAGTGTGGGATGATCCAGTGGGTATTGGAATGCACTGTACATGAGCGTATTGGTTTAATAATTGTGTTGAGAGAAGTCATGTTTTAAAGGTTAAAAAAGCCAGAATACTTGTTCTGGATTCCTCTGAGGCAATCTAACCATATTGACTTTTCATATCCTACCCTGCTTTGTGTTCACACCCTGCCTGACATGAAATTATGTAGTCTCTTAATTCGACTGGTTTGTCTTCCCACAAAGCCTAAAACATTTTTTAAATGCCCTTGCTGCATATGTTTCTTGCATATCTAGCCATATTTTAAATGTACCTGAGCTTGCCTGTTAAGTCTCCAAGCACCAATTATAACTACATAAATCCTAAAACAGAAGACAGTGCATATAGCTAGAAAAAAAATTCTTATCTTTATATCTTCACTAAGCCCTAGTAAAATCCAGCATGGTTTATTGAAATATTTGTTTGACTTGCTAAACTTGTATAATTTAGATTTAGACAGTATGTCAAGAGCTACAGCACAGCAGTCTGAGAGCTCGCAGAGTGAGAAACGCTTATTACCAAATATAAACAGAGAATTTCACCTGACAATGTTTTTCAATTACATATTGTATTTCTTAACCTCCTACTAGCCTTTGATTATGGAGCCTCCATGGGCCTCCTGAATTTTGTTTGCTGCAGTGGCCAAATCTCAGTAAGGATTAAAATGTTTCTCTATACTGTTCCTAGGAAGCTCAAACTCTGCCTTCTTGTAACATTTCCTGGCTGGCATGAAACAAGGCTTTGCTCTTTCCCTTTCGCTTCACCTTATCTATGAAAGATTCGCACATACCAATAAAGTAAGACTCAGACAAATGATCTTGATGCTCAGTTTTCACTTTGGGGATGGGTCTAAGACAGAATGACCATCCCATCTATGCCCTGGATATTTAAAGGTGAATGGAAGACAAAGAGGCTATTTCCTTCTTCATTCTATATTTAAATAAATTTTATATGCAATAATATATTACAAACTACATTATAAGGATGTGATTAAGGTTGCTAAGTCAAGCTCTCTGAAGTTAAGAAATGCCAGAATTAAGGTTGCCTGTGTAACCTTAATTTGACCTGTGCATTATGTACAGTCTTTAGTTACATGACCATGTACTACTTTTTTGTCCACAGGACGACAAAAATTTACAAGTAGTGCACAGATCAAGTATGCAACATCTGAAATTCATAGTCTTCCTCTTGTCCTACAGGCTTATCCTAGCAGCTAATAGAGATGAATTTTACAACAGACCATCAAAATCAGCAGACTTTTGGGATAGCAGCAATGAGATCCTTAGTGGTATGTAACTTTTTAATGGAAGCTTGTCTTGAATCTCTCTTCCCATGTACTTTTGTTTGCAAATCTACAAAAACGTTGTTAGAAATAAAAGAACATTTAAAGGTGATGAGAACTTGTCCTCACGTGTGATGGTTGAAAACCAGTTTATGGGCTTGAAAGAGGCATAGGCCTTCGTTGTATTGCTATCTTGTATGTTTTCTTTAATCTGTACTGTAACTTCTTAAAAACTTGAATGCGTGGTTTGTAAACCTTAACTCTGTAATGAAGTGATTCAGAGCCTAAGTAAACCCATGCAATGGATACTTTGGCAACAATTTGTAAATCAGCTGTAACACCTCATGGTCACATTTTATATAAAGTCCACTGAGTTTTGTTGCATTTAGTTGACTACAAAAAAACTTACTTGAATGTTCTTCACTCTTCTTCATCATATGTTCTCCAAAAGCCACAGTTCAAGCAGTGTAGTGAAAATGCATTATACCATCTAACATAACTAGTTATTTAGTACCATGAATAACTCTCTGGAAAATGGAATTGCTGAATAATAGTTTTATAAAATAAATAATAGTCAAAATTAATTGTTTAATTGTTTAAGGCTCAAGGAAATGAAATTTTAAAAATGTATGGCTCATTTCTTATCAATTTGAAATTTTTTGACTAATGACCAAAGTTGTTTTGGTTTATTAGCTTTCTGCCTGGCTGTTGTTGTTAGGCCAGGGGTGGGCAAACTATGGCATGCGGGCTAGATCCGGCCCCTCAGGGCTTTGATCCGGCCCGCGGGATTGCCCCCCATGGCGCCGCGGGCCCCGCACCGCTTTCAGAAGCGGCTGGCACCACTTCCCTGTGGCCCCCGGGCACGGGGGCAGAGGGCTCCATGTGTTGCCCTTGCCTCCAGGCACCGCCCCACGCAGCTCCCATTGACCGGGAACGGGGAACCGCAGCCAATAGGAGCTTCAGGGAAGGTATATGGAGATAGAGCTGGAAGGGACCCCAAAGGGTCATTGAGTCCAGCCCCCTGCCTTCACTAGCAGGACCAATTTTGCCCCAGATCCCTAAGTGGCCCCCTCAAGGATTGAACTCACAATCCTGGGTTTAGCTGGCCAATGCACAAACCACTGAGCTATCCCCCCTCCCCAAGTACCCCCCAGGTACCTGGAGGCGTTGCAAGGGCAGAGCACGCAGAGCCCTCCACCCCCTCCATCCCCCAGGGGCCGCAGCGCTTCCTGGAGCGGCGCAGCGTGGGGCAAGGGCAGGCATGCAGGGAGCCTGCTCTGGCCCGGGTGCGCGCCGCTTCATCCCAGAGCCACTTTAGGTAAGTGGTGCCAGGCCGGAGGCCGAACCCCGTCTGCATCTCGCATCCCTCCTGCACCCCAAATTCCCTGCCTTGAGTCCCCTCATACACCCTGCGCCCCAACCCCCTGCCCTGAGCTCCCTGCCATACCCCGCGCTCCCTGCCACACCCTGCACCCCAACCCCCTGCCCTGAGCTCCCTGCCATACCCCGCGCTCCCTGCCACACCCTGCACCCCAACCCCCTGCCCTGAGTCCCCTCCTGCAGTCCGCACCCCTCCTGCACCCCAACCCCCTGCCCTGAGCCTCCCATACACTCTGCACCCTTCCTCTGCCCCAATCCCTTGCCCTGAGCCCCTTCCTGTACACCACACTCCCTCCTGCACCCCAACCCCCTGCCCCAGCCCTGCATACAATTTCCCCACCCAGATGTGGCTCCCGGCCCAAAAAGTTTGCCCACCCCTGTGCTAGGCTGTTGTCTAGCTGATGTTTTTTATAGAGAATCTATCTTTAAATACAGTTTCAATTTGACGACCTCTCCATACTCTCCGATATAAAAATGTGAGGCTCAAGTAGACAGAGCCTTGTTTAAATAGAACATTCTGACTCTGCAAAGAATTTTCATTGATGTTATGTGGTGGTGTTGTCGTTGGCAGAGAGGTCTGTGAGGATCAATTACTCCCACTGCACTGCAGCTTCCTCGCTTTCTGAAATTCTGGCTGACATTCCAAAATTCCTGCCAGACACTCTGGATGCTGCCTCCCTTGTTACACGGCGGCCAGGGGGGAGGAACAAAATACTTAGATGTTGAAATCCTAACATTAGCTGAATACTAGCCTGTAGCAAAGTGGAATAGATAATAAAATCCATTTTTAATGTCTTACTCTTTTCCTCCACCCCACCCCACCCCACCCCGGGTTTTATTTGAGGCAATTCAGTGCAAGGGGCTTATCTGTGCAGGTCTGATTAGTATACTGTTTGAATTAATAATGCACTTCTTTCAAATGAAAGTAGCGAGGCAAAAAAGTAAATATATCCAATTCATTCTTGCCTGTTGTCACTTAATATTGATGATCATTCTTGACACTTAAAACATTGCTGCTTGTTCTGTACTACTGTACCGTAACTTACAGGCATTGTCCATCATAGCTACAATGGCTGATATTCATTCTTTATTCTTCTTATGATTTGAGTGGAATGGAGTGTAGGCTTGCCAACTTTCTAATCGCACAAAACCAAACACCCCTGCCCTGCCCCCCCACTCTCTCCATCTCCCCCTCTCTCCGCTCTTCTCCACCCTCACTCACTTTCACTGGGCTGGGACAGGGGGTTGGGAGGGGGTATGGGCTCTGGGTTGGGGGTGCAGGCTCTGGGGTGGGGCTGGGGATGAGGGGTTTGGGGTACAGGATGGGGCTCGGGGTTGGGCCAGGAGGTTAGGGTGCAGGGGAGGAGGTGCGGGGTCCTGCAGGCGTTTACCGCTGCTCTGAGGAAGTGGCTGCCAGGTACCTGTGCCTGCTAGGCACATGGGCAGCCAGGTGCCTTTGTGTCCACAGGCGCCGCCACCAACAGCTCCCATTGGTCACAGTTCCCAGCCAGTGGGAGCTGTAGAGCCGGTACTCGGGCTGGGGGCAGCACATGGAGTTTCCCAGTCCCTGGCTGCCCCAGCGCCTAAGGGCTGTAGGGACCTGGTGGCCACTTCTGGGAGCAGCAGAGAGCCAGGGCAGGTAGGGAGCCCGCTTTAGCCCCGGGCCCCTGCTGTGCCACCGACCAGACTTTTAACGGTCGAAAACCGATGCCTGGCAACCCTAGTGAAGAGTGGGAGGAATGCCTTGTGTGCAGATCCGACATCAAGAAAACTATTACATGCCAAGGGCATAGCCCACAGGTGGGCCACAGCCCACCCAGTTAGCACCCAGGCCCACGCAAATCTGAGCTGGGGTGTAGCAGTCCAGTGTGTCACTCCAGCACCTGAAATTTAGGGCAGAGCTTTGCTACTATGCTTCAGAAAGCTATGCTCTAGCGGCTCTGCCTTGTCATTTTCTGAGTCACCCCATGTGCGTGCCCATCTGGGCAGAAAAATTACTTTCTGATGGGGAAGCAAAGGGAAGCCACAAGAATGGTCTTGTGACTCTCCCCAGCAGTATGTTTCTGGTGCCCAGGGCAGCCAACAGAGAGGTCAATCACTGTGGGGTAGGGGGTGGGCCTGGGGAAGACCCAGCTGGTGGCTGCTACCCTGCACCCGAGCTGCTCCCCCATCCACCCGACCCCCAAGCATCCAGACCCCCCTCATAACCAGCCCCTCCCACTGAGCCTCATCCCCCCCCCGCACTCAGAACCCCCTTCCCCTTACTGAGCCCCAATGCCCCTGCACCTGGACCACCCCGAAGGCTCCCCACCCCACCGAGCCCCAACCAGCTGCACCTGGATCCCCATCCCATTGAGCTCCACTCCCCCAGCATTTGAACCTCCCCATTGAGCCCACACACACACGCTGAGCCCCAACCACCTTCACCTGGACCCTCCCTGCAGGCATTACCATTGCATCCAGAACCCCCCCAACAAGCCCCTATGCTTCCAACAGCAGCTAATCCTTCCCTGAGATTTGCATTTGAATTAACAAATATTCTAGCTCTACATAACCCAGTTATATTCCTTTTAACACAGTCGTAATTTTTTAAATCTTGGTTTAGGTTAATTTACTGACTTTTTTCCCTATCATCACTGTGATTTTATTAAATGGTGAATATTGCACAATTGCAAAATGCTGATTTAGTTTTAACTCATTTCATTTTTACTTTCCAAACAAACAAAAAAGCTTGGGACTCTAGGCATCTATCCAGCACTAGCTAAACTCAATTTTTATTAAGGAACTGTGATTTAAAGCTTTTGAAATGAGATGAAGCAGCAAAGTAGTGAATCTGTCTTATTTCTGCTTATGCCTCTATTTGCTGTAGGTTTGGATATGGAGGAAGGAAGAGAAGGCGGGACGTGGCTTGGAATCAGTAAGAAAGGCAAGATGGCTGCCTTGACAAACTACTTGCAGCCGAAGATTGATACAAATGCAAAGGGAAGAGGTATGGCGTCACAATGAGGAAATGAAAATATGAGTGACTATATAATGGAATGTTTGTTACAACCTTAACTAAGTACTGTTTTAACCCCCTTTTCTCATCCAATGAAGTGGTAATAATAGCTATTAACAAGGCTTGTAGAAACCTTTTTTTGTACACCCTGTCCTCCTCCTCTGAAGAATATGTAACAAGCTCTTACTTGAAACTTCTTGTGGTTGAGCTCTGTGTTTTAGATTGATGCATTCCTAGGACACTTTTGTGAGCAGAACATAATAGGAAATGGAAAAATGTGCATTTTTGTCTTTTAGGAGACTTTTTCTCATTATATTTTTATAGTAAAAGAAAAAAATCTGCTTGTAAACTCAGGGTCATGAGGTCCTTCCGTGGAAAAATATGACATTAAATAGATCAAATAAATGAGCCACATTAGTTGTATACCAAGCCAGGGCTACAAGGAACATGTAGAGGAAATGAAATAAAAAACTGAGGAGAGTGGTAATATGTGAGAACATCTAATACCGAAGGCTCCTCAAACATAAATCCGTTGCAGGTTTTTCCTCAGAGTAAAAATACGTGTCATAATTGCTATATTGGTTTAATGTGAGCACGATAGAAAACCCTAATTTCCATATTTTGCCCCTCATCAATAACAGGAATCCTAAGCCTTGTGTTCTGCTTGTTTGACTGAATTTGCCAGATTAGCTATCCTCACTTTCCATATGCAACTCATTCTAACTAACTCTAAATCCTTCCTCTTCTTCTTAGGTGCACTTGTAAGAAACTTCTTGACTACGGATTTGGACAGCTTCTCTTACTTGAAGAAAGTTTCATCAGAAGGACACCTTTACAATGGATTTAATTTAATAGCAGCCGACTTGAGGTAAGTCTATAAAACTTTACAGATCAAAAGGTGAAGAGGGAGAAACAAGAAAGCAATGAAGTGCATAGAATTATTAGCACTAAATTATCACAGTATAGTGGCTTGTCACAGGCAAAAGCTATAGCTCTTGTGCTTTTACTAACAGGCATGGGTATTCAAAGTTCTGAATGTTATTTCATATACTTTCTACAGTTCTTTTTTTATTTTTGTTTCTTCCAGAAACCAGAGGGCTGTCTTATTATCTAGTAATTTCTTGTAGTGCGTCTCTCAGCATCTCTTTCTTACAGAATAGAGATGTTTCAATGGAAAGATTTCCTAAGTTCTTCCACCCTTAATTTGTGATACATTTTTTGACTACCAGACTTCTGGACAACTACAAAAATTCTGATTCAGGATTTGGTTTGCCAATTTAATGTGAACAAATACTGTCGGTCTCCTGACTTAACAAAGCTAATAAAGACACAGGAATAAAAACCCAGTCAAATACAAAGCGTTGTCCTAACAGTACAGACACCATTATTGTAAACAATACACTGACAGCTACCGGAGCGTAACATCAAGATTTGATTAGTGAGCTGCAGTAATTTAGCTGAGAGATCAGGATTAAGATTTTTAGCACTGAAACCAAATAAGAACCCAGAAGGAAATCAATGTGACGGGGCAATGGAGTGATGGGGAACAGTGTTCAGAACCTGGAAACTTGATCAACGCAGCAAAATATATTTGATGGAGTCTGGCAGTATCAATTAAATGAGATGAGTAGTGAAAAACACAAACTGCAAAAGCCAATGGTTAGACACTAAGGTCTTGTCTACATTGCCCCGCAGTTCAGACTACGGTGGTGTGACTAGCAGTGCACACCAAAGTGGTATGCTACAACTCCCCCATGTGGATGCTGCAGGCATGAACTAAAAGGTTGCTAATTTGCATTAATGTAGTCCTGTTTGAAAAGGACTCTATTAATGCAAACTAGGAATCTTTTATTTCACATCTGCAGCATCCACACAGGGGAGTTACAGCACACCACTTTGGTGCACAATGCTAGTCACACCCCCGTAGTCTGAACTGTGGAGCAGTATACACACTCTTATTTGGAGAAGAGGGTGCTGGAATTAAGTTCATTATACCTTTCTAGAATCCTGTCAACAAATGTGACACTGTTACAATTATTGTTCCCTCTACTTCACTGACCTCCATTGGTCATAATCCAGTCACCATCACTCACTCCCCTCCCCCCCCCCATGAAATTTTTAAATAAAGGATTAGGAATAAAACACTTTCAAGGTCTTTAGGTGCACAAAACCATAGCTTCCTTGCCAGTTTAGGATATTTATTTTCATTTTAGAAACTGCTGTGATAAGGTGGGGAGGGAAAATGGAACTTTTTTTAGCCAATTAAAGTTTAAAAGGAGAAATGTTTTATCAAGGCAGACTCACTCCAGCTGTGAAGATACCAGTAGTCTTTCAGTGCTTGCTGCTCCTGCTTAGGGATAAATGACCTGGTTCTAAGAACTGCAACAGTAGAAAGAGAAAGTGAGCACTTCAGAGATGTGTGAAAACCAAACCAATCCCCCACATCGCTGCTCCAGGGAATAGATGAAGGACCAAATAGCCCCTACACTCAGCTGGAGTGAGAGGAGATGGTGTTTTAAAGGTCTGCTGGTATCTTCAGCTGAACTCTCACAAACATCGTCAAGCAGTAATTTGAATGGTCTAATTAATAAAAAGAAAACCAAAAGCTGGAAGACTCAGTATCTTTATCAGGGAGTCAGTTTTTGACAAGTTTGATGCCCCCTACTCAAACCATTATTTGGACTCCGCTTTGTTGATTGGTTATAAAGAGGGATTTTGTTAACCTGCAAATCAGGGAAACTAAATCCACAGCAAAAGTAGATTGCTGTTTACTAAAGCTGAAACTAGTGAACTGATTTGTTGTGGCTGAGATAATGCATATATTGTTCTCTGAACACACACACTAACTGGCCCAACACAGAAACCAAGTTGGACACTTAGTGTGTGCTCCTTCTTCCACCATTGGTGTGCTCTACTCTGCAAAGTTCATTATTCCACACTGGGGCTTCCCCACCCTTTAGTTTTAATTGCTTTGTTTAGCTGTACTGTATTTAGAGTTGCTGACCTCTTTCTTCCTCCACCCTGCCTCACGCCCGGCTCGCTGCCATCTGGCTAGCTTTCAACTAGAATAGCTGGCTTTATTAAATCTGTTGCTAGTTTACCCCAAGAATACTGATAGGTTATGAAAGACTCTCAAATTACAGACTGTAGTGACAGCCTCCTGAATTGTACTTCCAGACAGAGCTGAGTGAATAATAGACTTTTCATATTTCAAGGGGGCATTGAAGGTGACGTGACCAGTTAACACCTTTCCAATCATTCAGGGGAAAGGGGGAAGAAAGGTGGTGGTGGGGTTAGTGGATTATAGATTGTTGTAATAAACCGTTAATCCAGTGTCTGTATTCAGTCCTTGATTTTTAGTGTCTAGCAAAGTTATGAATTTAACCTGCCAGGCTTGTTTTTTGAAGGTGTTGTGCAGGTTTCCTTTAAGGATGAGGACTGAGAGGTCAGATATAGAGTGATCACTTTGATATTTTTTTTCCAATGTGAGTTCATTTGAGAGCACAGTGATGGAAGATAGCAGCAGGCTATCACAGGCCAGGCAGGCGGGGAGAGGCGCCCCTCACCCAGCCCAGCCCTGTCGGAGGGGGGAGAGGCGTCCCTCCCCCAGCCCAGCTGGAACTGCCAGGGGGTAGGAGGGGTTACATGCAGTGGAGAGGAATTAAAACCTTGAGCCAAGCAGTGGCGTTGCCCCACCACCATCCGCCCATTGTGCTGCAGCCAACTCATCTGGTGAGTTTAATGAGCGACTGAGAGTTAGTGGGAGGTGCCCGAGTCGCCACCCCACTGCGTCCCCTGGGATGGAGTGCCACGCTGTCCCAGGCTCCCCGCAACCACTGCCCCCCATCCCACTGGGCCCGCCCCCGAGCTTGCCCAGCCTTGGGAGCCAGCCGGTGGGCTTGGGGAGGTGATGGCTGATCCCCTGCGTGGTCCATGGGACGTGTGTCCATGCACGGAGCTCGGCCGGGTGCGTAATTCCAGTGGCTGATGCAGCCGAGGGTGGTTTTACCCCTCCCATGGGAAGCTCAAACCCACCTGCGAGCGCCTCCCCTGTGGGCGCAGGGGGCAGAAGGCAGAGCCCCCCCGTGCAAAATTGCCCATTTGGCTGGCAGCCCGTGAAGCTGGAGGTGCTTGCAGTGGTGTGTGGGGGGAGGGGGGGTCTGTGCCAGGGGGTACCCCACTGGCGGCCCCTTCCCCTGAACTTTGCTGGGCTAGAGGGCCTGCGGGGAGGGGAGCTGCGTGTGACAGCGGGCTGGGGCGGCAGTACTATTTCTCCAACCCAAAACAGAGAGGAACCCCTCCCCCCGCCCAGTCCCACCCTGCCGGAGCTGCCACAGCCTGGGAAAGGCCCCCCCCCCCCCATCCTGAGCTGCTGCAGCCCCAGGGCAGCCTGCACCCCAGAGCCCGCACCTCAGCTAGAGCCCTCACTGCACCCCAACCATGAGCCCCCTCCCACACCTTGAACCCCTCATCCCTAGCTCCACCCCAGAGCCTTCATACCCAGCCATAGCCCTCACCCCTACATTCCAATCCACTCCCCCAGGCCTGAGCCCCCTCTTGCACTCCAATCCCCTCATCACTGGCCCCATCCCAGAGTCTGCACCCCCAGCCAGAGCCCGCACCCCAGCCCTCTGCCCCAGCCCTGAGCCCCCTCCCACATTCCGAACCCCTCGGCCCCACCCCCGCCACACATTACCTCCATATTGGTGCACATAACAAAATTCATTCCGCACATGGACGTAAAAAATTAAAGGGAACACTGATAGTGATTGTCTTATTTCACCTACGTAGTTGTTCTTGTGGCATTTAGTGCACTGGATGAGGTACAGCCAGGGCCGGCGCAACCCATTAGGCGACCTAGGCGGTCACCTAGGGCGCTACAATTTGGGGGGCGGCAACCACGGCGGTATTTTGGCGGCGGTACCTTCTGCCGCCTAGGGCAGCAGAAAAGCTGGTGGCGCTCCTGGGTACAGCACATGTTGTGATAGGCATGTGTAGGACCTTTGGATCTTGGAAAGGAGTGTTGTGGGTGGTGGTATGTCTACAGATTTTGCATCTGTTGTTCTGGCAGGATCTGGGCCGCTTTGAGTTGGTGTGTCCTGGTCTGTGGGGAGTTTGCTTCTCATTATGAGGTTCGGGGGGTTCTTATTTGAAGGCTAGAAGAGGGGATTCAGGAAAGATTTCTGTCAGGATGTGGTCCCCATCGAGCATGCATTGTAGCTGTTTGATGAGACCCCACCTGGTTTCCAGCGTGGGATGGTAGGTGACAACTTTGGGGTGTGTGGTCAGATGGGGTTTTATTTCCATATTGAAGCACATTCTCTTGGGGTATTTGGGTGCCCATTCCTTGATGCAATCTACCTCTCTGGTAACCTGCTTCTCTGGTGTAAAAGAAATAACCCCAGGGGAGGCTCCATGTGCAGGATTTTCTTTGTTGATTTAATGAGTTGCAGGCTTGTGCTGGATCTGCAGCATCAAAGGATATAGAAGAAATGTTTGATGAAAAATCTGCTTTGTTAAATGGCTATACTTGGGAGCTCAGAATAGCGAGACTTTAAATGCGAAATGGGTATTGAAGCAGAGGCTATAAGCCATTGTCTGTATAGAGTGACACGGTTTAATGTTCAGGATGGACTTCAGCTATTGTTGACAGGATCAAAGATCACCCATGTTGCAAAGGTGGTGTGCTTAGTTATTTAGGGTGGGTGCTGGAGGCAGGGATTCTGACTGCATTGTTCATTCTTTCAGCCAGTCCACTAGTGATATTTAATGATACCATTGGAGAATAACAACAAAATGCCATCATCTTCCATTAGGGTAAAGAGAGTGAAAAGCCATACCTTCCCCTCCCTCCCCCCACCCCCACCT